TGCACTTGGCCTTGTTGAACTTCATGAGGTGAACCTTTCAAGCCTGTTCAGGTCCCTCTGTATGTCATGCCTTCCCTCCAGCGTGTCGACCGCACCACGCAGTTTGGTGTTGGCAAACTTGCTGAGGATGAGCTACTTGGTTGTCCCTATTTGACTGTCATGGGAGACACTGCAGTGTGCATGTCTTTGTGGCCAGGCTGGATGTACATCTGAGGATTTGAAAGAGACAATGCGGTCCAGTGTTGCTGTAAGGTCATAGCTGTTAGAGGAGTAGCTGATGCCCATGCAATTGCACCATTCATGGTGTCACACACACACATGCACTTATTCTTGGGCATGCTTCCTCCTTCTTCAGGCTTGACCCCAGGTTTCCTGCAGCAGAGTGTCAGGTGTCAGTCTTTATAAAATATTTAAAGGTGCAGCAGCAGGATCAGCCTGGGCTGGGTGCCTCCAAAGAGAGGGAACCAGAACAGAGAAATCCTGGGGCAATTACACCCTTGGGTACCATACACCTGCTGTCCACACGTCCTTTAGTTCAATGGTGATTTTAGGTCTGGGATCTTCTAACATCTATTTGGATTCTTCTTCTGAGTCCAGGCAGGCAGGCTGTTATCTTGTTGACTTGCAGTTCCTGCAGTTTTCCGCGAAGGTTGGAGCCTCCTTATCTTCTGGTTTACACTCCTTGTGCCCCTGCCCTTGCTGATGGAACATGGAGAACTGAAGAGTCCCAGACTGGGAAAAACACTATCGAGATATTAGTGTGATATCAAAATACTTTCCCATGCTAAAAGACTAAACACAGCACTGTAGTAGCTGTTTGGAAAACTACTAGGAAAATTGCTGAGAAAAATACCTCTATTGCAGCCTAAGGCTTCAGCAGATCTAGCTACTCATGCTAAGTAAAGCTAAGCAAACAGCACAAATCGCACTCTATTATATTCCTAAGTCATTTATTCTAATTAAAACCTACTTCTTTCTGTTAAACAACCAATATCCCTCAATAATAGCAGAAGTACATGCAAAGTAGCTTTGCAACAGTAACTTGTGGCCCTGCTGTAAAGTGATTTGTGTGTGGAGTTGGGTTATTTTGTTTGTTTATCTCCTTAGAACGTGCTGAACATAACTAATAACAACTTCTACCTGGTCACTGTTGAGCAGCTAGACATAGAGGTTTTGCACCAGTCCCTGATAGTAGGGAAGACCACCATGAAACTTCTACTGAATATGAGCCCTTTGCAGAGCGGCCAGGTGAGCTCTGTTGTTTCTTGCATTTTCTCCTAAACTAATCTGGATGTCCTGGGCAGGGAGCTGCTTATTGTATACTTGATCCACTCCTTTGTCATCTGTCTGCCAAATACTCAATGCAGCTTCCCCCATCCCGCTTGGGGAAGAGGTGTTGTAAGAATTTACATATTGCTGAGTTTGAAACTAATACATTCCGGGGCAAGGAACATCTGTCTGCTCTTTGGGCTGGGTTGTGTGCTTGCCTTAAAATGATGGCAAGCTTAGAAACAGGTTAGAGAAAACCCTGGTGGGAACAGTTTGAGCACAACTGATCCATTCTTGGTGTAAAGGTCAGGTGTGTGGCCTAGATGACCTTTTTAAGGCCTCTTCAGATCTATTTTCAGATTCTATTTATTGTTAGCCTATTAATTGTTAGGCTAGATCTTGAAATTCAGGTTCAGACACCTAATGAGAGTCCAGTTCTCCCTACTTCAGCTCTCTGAATTGTATACAAACATAACTGTAGTTCTTGTGTACTTCCTGCTTTCTCTTCTGTTCACATTTGCAGATCTATTATCTGGTGGCCAGTAGGATATGGGACGACAATACCTAGTGAGTAGTTCTTGAAGATTTCTTCCCTTGGTTAGTAAGTAACATTAATGCTTCTAGTCTTTTTATGACTAGATTTCTTGTGCTGGTCCTGTCTGTAGAGCGAAGCTGAGCGTGTCCTTTTCAGTTTAATGTGTGGAGCTCATCTGGATACAAGTCTGGCACATCCATTTTAAACTCATTTCCTTTTCTATTTATTGGTATTCTCTGCTTAGTGTTGGCTCAACAGGATCATTTTCCATACATTCTGTTGAGTTAAGTGATATCGGTTTGATGTCTAGGTTGTCAACTTCAATTGCTCCATTTGCGAGCAGCTAAAGGTACCTTGTACAAACTACGTTTCTCTGCAAATGGCCAGCAAACTGTGTGAAGTTCATAGCAGCCAAAGCTTCTGTGCAGACAGGGTGGTGCATTGCGTATTTACATGGCCCACCGGCTTATTGGATCCACATTTAAGAGTTACACCACCAGAACCATGTTTTACTGATGTAGATGCTGCTGTGCGTGAAGAACTTTGCCTGCATGGCTGTTGTCAGGATATTGCAAAGACCTTTTTGGAGAAGCAGACAAGCAGTGGAATAATTGAGGACAGGAGACACATGGTGCAGGCAGCTCCTGTGAAATTAACTCTCTCTCTTCTCTCGTAGTAACATTTGCACCTGGACAAAAGTCAAAGTTCACAATGTTCTGCTGCATATACAGTAAGTGATGCCTGGTTCAGAACAATGACTAACATCTGGGTCACCTACATTGTTTCTCACTCCCCTTCAAGAAGGTCTGCAGTCACTGTTCTTCAAGACCAGACTACCTGCAGTGTGAATGTGCTGTTACCCAGATAGGTGTGCTGAGGAGATGATTCTCCAAAGCCACTGCTGCCCCGAGAAGTCCCCTGGATTCAGACTTCTTTCTGGAATACTGATTTGTAGCTGTTAGGAAGTAATTCTTTGGTCCAGAGCTAGAAGTACTGACTGGTTTGATTATGCCTGCCTGCCTTGTGGTGCTGGGGACAGACTCATTCAGCCTGGATTCTGTGCGGATGTGTGGATGATTGCCTTCAAGTGTTCTGGCAGCAAGGCAGGACAAAGCAGGCTCTTCTGTGGATTCTGTTGCCTGAGGCAGCTCCTTTCAGGGGATGGACTGGAGGACCATGCTCAGCTTGACTGTGGTTTAGAGTACGACAGGCCCTGCTGGGAAAGCAAATACAGGTTGGCTGCTCCTCCCTGCCAGGGAGGAAAGAGCATAATTGTAGTGTTATAATATAGCTCCTGCTGGGATAGGTTGGTACTGTTCTGGTCTGAGTTAATGCTAAATCCGGTGTGTGAGACTGGGAAGCTCTTATGAGGTGAAGCAGTGCTAGCACACCTCCATGCAGCCAGGAGAGAAGTGGTCTTCATTAGCTGAGTTTAACCCACTTTGGAAAACTGCAGCAGAAATTGTCTCTGTGTAGCCTGTCTCCCTGCACATCTGTGTTGACAGACTCCGGGTTGTGAGCCTGCTCTTGGAAGATGAACCTCTAGGTTCTTCACCATCTGCAGGCTGTTGTCACTGAGTCCATGGCTTCTTCAGGAAGGAGGAACTGCTTTTGCAGCATGTTTTTTTTGTGCTAATCTAAAGCCAGGGCTTCACCTGCTGTATCTGGAGATGGATTGAATATTAGAAAAAGCGTTTGAATGGAGAAAGTTTGTGAATCTCTTGGAGGCATGCTGGGCTGGAATTCTCCCAAGTCACTAAAGAAAGGTCACTGGCAATCTCCTGAAATACATGTGTTTAAATCTTGGTCTTCTGTTGCAATTTGAAGGGCTGTATTGTCAAGTTTCTTCTTTTATGGGTCTTAATGCAGATTTTAACTGTAATCACTTCTGAGTGATGTGAAGTTCAAACAGGTACACTATGCAGAGAAGCCCCACGCTACTCAAAGCATGGTAAAAGGGGTGCCTTTTGGAGAGCACGAACAATGGCTCTGGCTGTTGAGGCAACTTTGTCCTTAGCTGACACTATTTGCTGACGGGACCATCGCACTCTCTACCTGCAAGCTCTCGGTTAGCCAGAAGCTGAAGATGATTCCAGTCATCTTTACAATTTTCTGCACCACATCTCCTCTTGCTGATGTTACCTACTGATGGAGTGCATAGTGTTAGGAGAAACTACTTGATGCAAACAGCTCTTGAGGTGGCACAGAAGGATGGTGATTGAAAGATGCATGCTTTTGTCTAGCTAAGTCCATAAACAGCCACCCACTGTGACTTGCACTGGCAATTTGGGAACAGGGAAATGGTGAAATGGCACAGGAGTGTTAGGCTGGGGTAGGAAGCCTTAGTGGGTTTCTAGAATGGCTAACGCATCTATTGTGATGGTAATGATCTTGTAAAGGCTTTCTTTAATGCAGTCTAAAAGAGCTTTCCCTCTCCAACATGTGAAATTGAGCTGAGGGTATGTTGACTGCTGTGTTCTGGGGCTATGTAATAGGGACAAACCAGAACAGCAGTGGGAGCTCACCATGGGACCTTTACCTTGTGAGAAGTCTCCTCTGGGACAATCACAAATGGAGTTCCGGTCTGCTTTTGCCTTGCAGGGGTACCCTGACCTGCACATACCTGTGTCATTCAGAGCAGCTGGCTTTTGAAGACTACCAGTACGTGGACTGCCGGGGGAATGCCACGCTACCTCACCCGCTGCACCACCGCCCACCATGACAGGGCCAGGCTGGCAGAGCTTTTGGGTGCAGCATATTCCACCACAAAGGCAAGTCAAAGGAGACAAACTTCTGGGGCTTCTTTCTCAATCTGTGCCTTCAACAGGAGGCTTGCTGTTTCCTGGATAAGGCTTCTGTCTTTTGTGCAAAGATGGTAAAATACTTGGCCTTATGAATGCGGACTTTGCTGCTCTCATGTTGCAGCTTTCTTTTTTTCAGTGCCTTATGGCTGACTCTTCAGCAGAGTGACCAGTGCATGGGGCATCTGTGTGGCTGACCGGAGCGAGCCGTGCTCTGGCCTTCACTGCAGGCAGTGCCCTATTAGTCAGCCTAACTCTAGTTGTTTCATCCTTGCGTAATTTTGCACTTGTATTTCATAATTCGAAAAAGAAGGACTGTGATGAGACTTTTTGGCTGGATTGCATCTACGTCACCAGAATCTAATGACACTTGCACAACCTGCATAGCAAGAGTGAGAAACAGGACTGATGTGTCTGTATTTGAGTCGTACGAAAAACTACCACGTCATGTCAAAATACTTTGTGAGAGTGACTCTGGGGTGACTGCTGTTTCAAGCTGTCTGGTATAGTGGGTGAGAATATGCATTTTTGTATATATGTGTTTTTAAAACAAGCTAGTCGACTAGCTGTTCCTTAATGGCATCCATTTCAGTGAGAAGAAAACGCGTTTTGTATCATGAACCAAAGAGATTGCTTCTTTCCTGCCAGTGGTGGCTGGTGGCCAGCACATGCTGTTGGTTGCATTGTTTTCTTGTATGCTTTGGCATTTAATGCTTTCAACTTGAACAAGCATGAGAGAGTTCATCTCTGACTGGAAAAGCTGTTTGCACAAATATCAGGAAACAGCTGGTTTGGGGGTGTGGTGTTTTGTTTTGGTGGTTTTGGTTTGTTGGTTGGTTGTGGGTTGTTTTTTTTTGTTTTTTTTTTTTTTTTAAAGCTGCATATTACCCCACAGACTTTACAGGAGGAACAGCCCTGGCAGCAGCCTTCTCTTCTCCCAGGGCTGGCAGTTGTATCCCCCAAATGGAGGCAGCGTTAAATGTTATTCCTTTATGTTCTAGTTTTAGATGCTGCCTGATGCATTCTAGATGGTAAAATAGGAGCCTGGGAGTTGCTGGACTGAATTCTTTCCTTGGCAGTTCAGCATCTTCCTGTATCTATCCCACCAAAGGATAGAACCAAAGTGTCAGAATAGTTGAAGACTATTAAAGCTGAAGAAAATCTCTGATCCTGTCTTCAAAGTATGCTTCCTAAACCAGCACCTCTTCCAGACTGTTGCAGTGTTGCTCCTCACTGTATCACTGCGATCACACTGAAATGCTAAGTCATCTGCTTCCTCCCTGCAGCAGGGATGAAGGGGCTCCACGTCCCGTTCTGAAATCCTCCCTGCCCCTCACAACTCTTTTTGTACTTGCTGTATTGTTGATTCTGCTCTGCACTTCCCTCCCCTGCTGTTGTTTCCTGCCGTGCTTCTGTACTGCTGTGTTATCACCTGTTCACAAATTGGGGCCCTTGTGCGACCCTGTCATCTGAAATATGAAAGGAGGAGTTAACACGTGGACTGTGTATTCTGAGCTTTGTATTCATTATTGTTTATTGCTCGAGAATAAGATAACTAGGGATTAGAGAACAGGAAGACCGTCCTTGGAACAGCAAATGTATTTAATTAGAATGAGGTATACTTAGGTAAGATGTAGCAAAGGCATCTTGAACAAAGGAACGCTTGTTAAAGACAAGATGTACATCGTTGGGAGCCAAAAGTCAGCACAAGTCCTCTAATTGGTGTGCCTAGACTGAACTGTCTCATCATAATATGAAAACTGCACCTCCAGTGCTGAATACACCCCCTGAACTCCCTGAACACGTGTAATGAATGTAAAAGGTACTCTGTCTTTAAATCGAAGTGAGTAGGTAGGAAGGTGTGAACAGCAGGCACAACTAACACCTGGGCTGTGTAAATACACGATGGAGCTGTAACCCCGTGCTAGCTTTGTGGGGAAACCACCCAGCACCCCTCTTTGTGCAAATACGGAATAAACAACGTCTCGTCTGTGTGTGTGTGAGCCTGGCTCCGTGCACACCGGGCTAACGCACCCGAGCTGAAGGGGCCACAGCCCGGGGTGGGCCACTGGTCTCTGGGCCGGGGTCTTCGCCTCATGCAGCTTCCCCCCGTCCAGCAGCGGGCACGAAGGGAGACGGAGACGTTTATTCTGAGACCGACGGGGAGCTGAGAGCAGGGCACAGCCGGAATTCCTGTCAGGTACCCGAGGCCGAAGGGGGCGGCTGGGCCCGGCTGCGCGCTTCCCCTATGGGAAAAGGAGCAGCTCGCTCTACGTACGAGCTGGAAAGCCTC